AATTAATTTTCTTTTTTTTCTTAGAGACAATCTTTTCTAGAAATAAAGTGAAGTTTCAATATACATGTAATAACTTATATAAAGACTGATATAAAAGATCAAGTCATTCTCAGGACTGGTTCTACTGCACCAAGAAAAATGAAAGACCGTGGTCCAGTCTTACAAGTCCTGGGATTGACCGGTCTAGAACTGAGTAGGACTGATAGGACTGATAACTATTTTTAATCTCAATTACATTTTTTGTGAAATCAGATTAGCCTTTAATTTCAATTATAATTACTGTAAAAACGTCTTATATCAACTTACAATTACTTTTACTAATATTTCACTGAAATTATAGTGGTAAATTTAACAATAATAATTAAACAACTATATGTATATCTTTTTGTGTTTTTATTTTTATATTATTATAATATTATATGTTAATATATATTAATTATATCTTTTTTTACTTTTATGTATTTTATTTAAGAAAAAATGTATTTGTAACAGCCTGTTACATATCTTATTTGTAACATCCCTTTTTTATTTTTTTTTAATAATAAATTTAATATGTGTTTTACAAATAAAATTTTTATATGCAAAATTTAATTTGGAAAACTTTTACTTAATGTACTTAAGACAGTTCATAGACAAAATTTTAAGTTATATGCAGTTTCTTGAAATTTTTTAAAAATTTTTTTTATCTTAGTTACACAACTAATCTTTTGTTTTTGTTTACATTATGCCTGATCTTAAATTTTAATTGAATAAAATTGGGGTTGTTACAAATAAAACATATAATAGGCTGTTACAATTAGATTTATCCTTTATTTAATTTATTTAATATATTACTAATATTTCTACTATTATTTTATTACCTTTTTATATTTAATTAATATATTATTAATATGGGCTTTTTGTAATAAAAAGAGGAAAACCTACCAAAAAAATTAAATTTATATTTATATACTAAAAATACTCTAAATATTATAATTTATTCAGAATTAATATTAACTAAAAAAATTTTTTTTTAGCAGTTTTTTTCTTTTCTATTGTAAAGAGTTCATATTACTAATTTTTTATTATTTCTTTTTTATAGTATTTAAAATACTAATGATAATAATATTACTAATTAAATTTTTTTTTTTATTTATATTTTACTAGTATTATTTTTTTACAAATAATATATTATTTTATTCTAGTTTTTTATTTATAAAAAATATTTGTATATTTAATATTATTTAATAAAAATTTTATTAATTATAAATGCATTTCAAATTCTGTTTGCAAATAATAATATATACTATTTATCAGTACAAAATATGCAGTTTAAACTGGAAAAAAGTACTGTTTATCAGTATAAAATATACGATTTATCCTGAAAAAGTATACTGTTCATAATATAAAATATAAAACAACATAATATTTATCCTGTCTCTTATACACATCTAGATGTGTATAAGAGACAGATAAATATAGAATCGATATCGTTAAGTTTATCTTAACGATATCATTTCGATATCATTTCGATATCATTTCAAAATCTCGATTTAATATCGATATGATATCGAAATAAAGTATTATCCTGTCTCTTATACACATCTAGATGTGTATAAGAGACAGATCATTTCAATATCATTTCAATATCGATTTAATATCGATATTGAAATGATATTGAAATGATATCGAAATGATATCACTTGAAAACTTAAAGTTTCTGTAAAGTTTGCAAATATAAATATATGATTTAAATTGAATAATATATATTATTTATTAAGGTTGCTTGTCTAAACCTCTTCAAAATCCTACGATTAGTTTCATCAAAATTTTACTATAGATTTATTATAGTTTTGGTAAAGTTTCGGCAGTTTTGGCATTTATAATAAGTTTCAGCAGTTTCGCTTTTTTCCAAAGTTTCGCCAGTTTTTTAATATAACTTTAATATAGTTTTGGCAGAATTTCACTTTTTGGCGAAACGCCATCTTGCCTAAATTCCTAGGTTTCGGCAAGTAACCTTATTATTTATACTGGTAAAAAAAATGATCTATCCTACACATATTTTACACAGATCAGATACTCAAAATATAAAAAATCTTACACAAATAATACATATATTATATACACATCAGGTACTTATATGTATATCATACACATATCAGATACCTGATATATGATATATATAAGTATTCGATATGTATATGATATATGTATTATTTGTGTAAAATTTTCTACATTTTGAATACCGATATATGTAGAATAGATTATTTTTTTACCAGTATTATTAATATAAAATATGCAATTTATATTAAACTGAAAAAAGTACTGTTTATCAGTATACTTTTCGTCAAAATGACAAAATACTAATTAAATTTATTTTGAATTTTGATAAATGTAATTAATTCATAATAATTTTATAATAGATAGTAAATTGGTCTGTTCACTAAAATATGACATAATTAATTAGCGGAGAAGTATATTTATTAGTATAAAATATATAGTTTATACTGAAAAAGTATACTGTTCATAATATAAAATATAGAAAAATATACTGTTTATTAGTATAAAATATACAGTTTTTATAGATAAATATACTGTTTACAAGTATAAAATATATAGATTAAACTGAAAAATATATATATGCAAATCATATAATTATATAATATAGTATATAGAATACCAAATATATACAGTATGTAATAATACTGTAATAATTATACGGAAATATACTATTTGTAAAATACAAAAATACAGTATATATATATATGTATATATTTTATAGGGATCCTATAATCTGAATAGAGAAGTTTGCTTGAATAATACTGATTTTACTAAAATGCAAATTGGTAGGATAATTAAAATTAACTCCTATTTCTTTAATTTATGGAAAAATATATAATTATTGTAGTGTAATAAATTCTATAAATATTTTGTATAGAAAAAGAGATATTATACACTAAAGAAGAACTGTTTCATATAAATTCTACTTTTTAAGCAAAATTTATCAGCTTGATCATTAATAATATTAGAATTTATAGCATAATTTAATACACTTATATATTTAGATTAAAATTTGATTTTAATAAATTTTTAAATGCATTGCAATTAAAAAAAAATTAATTCAATATTTTGTTACAAAAATATGATTAATTATAAATTGAATTGGTTGAAATATTTATTTTAATTAAAATTAAAGAAGCATTAGTCTGATTATTATAATTTATAACAGAAATCATATGATATAATTTAATATTGCTAATATCTTTTCTACTAAAGTCAAATTCTTGATAACACTTTAAATTTAATTAATAGTAAGATTTGAAATAATATATATAAACACTAAAAGTAATTTACTTAATTTTATCATTTTTTTCAAATAATATATAAATTTTTTCAACTTTTAGAGTTTTTATATATAAGTTTTCTAATATAATACCAATAAATAGAAATTCAATAAAATTTTCTAGTAATTAAACTAATTAAAAACTATTTAGTTCAGCTTAAAATTTATCTGATAAAAAAGAAAAAAAAGCATTACAGAAAAATTTTTATCTTTGATAATTTATTATTATTTCTGTTTATTATTTTCTTTTGTTCTAATTTCTTTAAATTTATTTTAGTATTTTATATATTATATTATATATTTTAATTATTATTAAATTAATATTTTTCTTATTGTTTTTTCTTTTTTATTACATCTTTTAAAGAATTAATTTGTTTAAAATTTACTTTCTTTTATTATTTTATTTAAGAATTTTGATTTTTTTTTTCTACATTACTATAATCAATCTTATTATTTTCTTTTTATTTTACTTATGCAAAATCTATATTATTTTTAAATTTTATTATAAAGAATTTTTTTTTCAGTTAACTGTGTTATAGTTTTCTTTTGACTTAAAAGTAAGAGTTTATAATAAGATTGGGTTTATCTATTTAAATAGTTCATTATAGTAGATAAAAAAAACAATAGTTTTTTTTAGTTTGTAATTTTTGTATTAACAGTTTTTGTACTGTTTACTTTTTACTTCAATAAATTAACCTACAATTTTAGTACAAAAAAAAAACAATAATTTAGTAATTAACTAATTATTAATTAGTATTAGTTTGGTAAAAACTAAACTGAATATTTTGAATTATAACTTTTATTGTAAACTTTTATAGAGAATTTTATATAAGTGTATAAATGTAATTTGAATATATATAATTTTTTTATTTTTAATAATTGCAAATTCTGAAGTAATACTAATTATTTAGCTTTTTTATTTTTGCGCTTTTTATAATTTTTTATTCAATTTATTTTTTTACTTTGATTATTATTTAATAACCAATTTATTAAATTTTATAATTTTAAATAATAATTTTAAGGGTTTTCACCAGACATATAAGGATGACAAATAAGATTTTGCCTAGTCTAAATTCTTAGAATAAATAAATAAAAATGCGGGGACAGTATATTAATAATAAATTGATTTTCAAAATATAAAAAATCTAGTAATATAATTTGGTCAATTTCGGCCATTAAATTGGCCTATTTTAATTTTTTAATATAAGATTCTATATTTACTTGAAATCTAAAAATGGAATATTCAATATTTTGTTATTAATAAATTAAGAAAATATAGTATTCTAAAGTAAAAATAAAAAAAAGAAAGCAGTTATGATTTTTCCTTAGTAAAGTAAATTGATCTACATGGTCTACGTCTTTTACTGCCTTCTAACAATATATAAGAAATAATCATATGTATATTTTCATTCTTTAATTAAATTAATTTATAAAAATACCCGTTTAGCCATTTTAAGAAAGCTTTTTTTGAACTTTGTTATATTAAAATATATAAATTGAATTTGAAACATTTGAACATTTGAAATCAATTTTCGTATATCATTTCCATAAACCACCTTTTTTGCCGTTTCATTTTTTTGACGAACTCGTTATGTCATAATTATGTACAACGCAAACGCTCATGCGTAAGTAAGTAAGCTGTTTCACGAAGTGTCTACCCTCCCAGGGTTTAAAACTGGGATACCCGTTTTCGGGGGAGTTATGTATATATTTTAATAACCTTTTACTGTTTTCTCGAATTTGGCTTTTGCTAATAAAACCGAATATTCACATCTTTCGAAAACGAACTTAAAATGGATGTTCAACAAGATACGCGAATTAGTCAATTACTACCTTCAGTAAAATGTTCAGATTGTGGGGAAATGGTAGAGTTTCGAAGGTTAGGTGAACACATTTGCCAGGCTGCTCCTGCTGTTCCTGCCTTACCTAGTGCTTATAGAAAACCTACTATTAAAAATCAAACTCCTTCCTCAAGACAAGGTATTTTTTAAGCTTGACTAAAGTAGTTATATTTCAAATAAAGCATCAACTTACCTTTATTTGTTATGCAGTTGATAATATACTTAGACCGAACCTTAATCCATTATCAGTGTCTGGTATGATCAATCAATTCAACTTTTTTTTTCGTTAATTGAAATTGTGTATTTAATTCATTGTCTAATTAATTGCTTAGATAATAGCTATGATGTTGGTCGTTCACCATATGATACTTCTCCCTCACCTACAGATTCCGGTTATTCTGGGTATTCAGGCAGCAAATACACATCTCCGCCTTCATCTACATCGAGCCCTAAGGGACCCACAAATTTCCTACAAAAATATGAACAAATGACCGGTAAACAAATCAATTCATCATCACAATCTCCTAGAAGCTCTCCAACATCACCTATTGACAATAACCAAGAATATTATAATAATGGATATCCTACTACCCCTAAGCGATTTGATAGACCACAGGACAATTTTAATAATATTAATGGTAATGACTATCCATATGGACAGGGCTATCCATCAGATCGTGGAATACTTGATCCAAGAAAATTTCCTAATAATGATAGATACATTCAACAACAGCCTTTCGATGAAAATAATAACCGTTATAATATGGATGATCCTTATCGAACGGGTAAACCTAGAGTTCCTAATGATCCATATGTTCAAAGACCAGATGATCGTTATATGCGAAATCAAAATCCTAATGACCGTTATAACGATTATATGCGTGGTCCACCACCGCCATCATCTAATCAACCATATTTGCGAGATTTTGATCCTTCTCGTAAACCTACTTATGACCGACAGAATGGACAATCACCATATAATTATGATAGCTCTAGACAATCACCTCGTAATATTTCGCAAGAAAAGGTTGGTCCACAACCACCTTTTTCAAAACCTTACGTGCCACAATCATCACAAGGTAGAAATAAGGCCGTAATAATATTTCTTCGGTTAATAATGAAATATTTATTTATTTTTCTTTATAAAATTTACAGGAAGGTATGATCAAGGAAGTAGAAGTAATACGTCTGATTCTTATGAAGGAAATAAGGTTGATGATTTGATGAACGATTTGATGAGAGAGATGGATAGTATGCAAATTCCACCAAATTCATTCGAACTTGATGAGCCTAGAAGTAAAAATGGCCGTGATATTTGTGCTTATTGGTATGTATATATGGTACTTTTTTTTAATAGGTTATTCAAAAATAACTAAAGCTTTTTTATATCAAATGGTATAATTTGTAAAGTAAAACTGAGATAGTATCTCAAGCTACTACGATGTGGGCGCTTGGTAAGACATGGCATTCAGATCATCTACTTTGTGCACATTGTCGTAAACCAATAGATCCAAATGTGGGACATGTAGAAAGAGAAGGCAATGTATATTGTCCAAATGATTTCACGGACTTATTTTTACCAAAATGTAGAAGATGTAATTTACCTGTAGAAAAAGAAGCCGTTAGTGCTAGTGATGGCAAACTTGAGGGAAAATGGCATGTAAAATGCTTCGGTTGCCATACTTGTTACAAATCTTTCCCAGACAAATCATTCTATGTCTTCGAGAATGCACCATATTGTAGACGTCACTATCACAAATTAAATAATTCCCTCTGTAAAACTTGTGATGAACCTATTGAAGGTCCTTGTGTACAAACAGTCGAAGGTTGGAGATATCATCCAAGTTGTTTTGTTTGTCTCGTAAGTATAAATATGGTATTCAAAAATGGTTTATCTCATTATAACATTAATATTTATTTATTTTCAAATGTTATAGGAATGTCAAACACCTCTTACAAATATTTATTATAGTTTTGATAACAAACAATATTGTGAAACACATATTATGGAAATTAAACGAATCCGTAAAATTAGACCAGAAAGGCGTCAAACAATATTTCGGAACATTTAAGTCAATTCTTACCATTTGTTACTTGTTTGTTAAGCAAAGCGAAGTTATTAAATCATACTTCGTTGAAGACTATGATTTATATGAGAATTGGCTTGTTAACTTTTTACCTTACAATCCATTATTGTTAAACATTTTTAGAAGAAAAAATTTTTTTTAATCTAGATAAATATATTTAATCACTTCATAATTTATTAATTACTGTAATTTCTAATATCCATTTTTCTCACTTCTTCATTGTGGTATATTTTGTAATCTTCAATATACAGCTAAAAAAAAATTCATCATTATCAATAAAACTGACATGTTTTTGTATATATTTGATAAGTAGTATGTGCCGGCTATACTAATTTTCGCCCCTACTTCCATTAATTCATTAATTAGTGAATCATTTGTAATCATCCGGACCCATGTCTGCCGTCATTATATGGAATTCGAGCTCGGATCCAATGGGAACCTGGTGGCAAAAATTAGTATAGCCGTGGATAAACAATATTTTTTCCAGTTTAATAAAAACTAAGTTTTGCAAGATTATATGATTATGTACGGTATGTTTTTCCAAATTGGGTAATAATAAGCCGGAATCAGAATAGTGATCGATAAAAGTAAAGATCTCGGGACATAGTTGCTTAAATTAAATTTTTTTTTTTTTTAAAAAAAAAAAGAGAATGTCTGAACAAAATTTTAAACTTCTTTGTATGGGTAATCCTTTATTGGATATCCAAGTTCAGGGCGACGATTCTTTACTTAAAAAGTGGGTTTATATTGATTTATAGGACTAACATTGAAGGGAAAAAATTAAACGAGTTTATGTTTTAGATATGGACTTGATCCTAATGGAGCTATTCTTGCCGAGGAAAAGCATAAACCATTGTAATTGTATACATTAATTACTAAATTGATTATTTTGATTTAAAAGTTTTTCACAAAAAATTAAAATATAACTTATATAATAATAAAGGTATGAAGAACTTCTTAAATATAAACCTGTTTACGTAGCAGGAGGTGCAGCTCAAAATTCTGCTCGTGGTGCTCAGGTATTGAATTTAATTATTCAAATCTAAAATTATTTGATAATAAATATTATGTTTTATTTATTTTGTTTCTTTTTTTTTTATAGTATTTATTGCCACCTAAAACTACGGCCTATTTCGGATGTGTTGGAGATGATCAATTTGCTGAAGAAATGAGAAACGCAGCTACTAATGAAGGCTTAACAGTTGATTATTTAGTCAATAAAGATTATCCAACGGGAACTTGCGGTGTCATTATTACTGGTCATAACAGGTAACTAATTAACTCATATAATATATATTTTAAATTAATATTTAAAGATATTATACTTTATTATAGATCTTTGATAGCAAATTTATCAGCCGCAGAACGTTATAATGAATCAGATCATTTAAATTTACCGCAAAAATGGAATATTGTAGAAAACGCCGAGTGTTATTATATTTCGGGATTTTTTCTAGCTGTATCACCTAGTTCTATCTTAAAAATTGCTAACCACGCAGCTGAAAATAATAAAGCAAGTATCTAACAGATCACAATTTTCTTTTCTTTTAACAAAATAAAAATTACTAAGCAATAAAAATTCAATGATATAGACATTAATTATGAATATATCAGCAACATATATATGTCAAGCTTTTAAAAAGCCCATGAGTGAAGTAGCTCCTTATTGGGATATAATTATTGGTAATGAAACCGAAGCTGAAGCATTTGCTACCTCAGAAGGCTGGGAGGTAAATATATCATATTAACTATTAAACTTATATCTTTACTATTATAATTTTATATCTAACTTTTTTGTTATAGACTAAAGATCTAAAAGAAATTGCTATTAAAATGGCACAATTACCAAAAGTCAATACAAAACGCCAACGTGTCGCAATTATTACTCATGGGGCAAAATCAACTATCGTAGGGTATCAAGATGGCACAATAAAGGAGTATCCAATTATTCCAATAGAAGATAAAGAAATAGAAGATACCAATGGAGCAGGTGATGCTTTTGTTGGTGGATTCTTAAGTCAATACGTTCAAGGCAAATCCATCGACGAATGTATCAATGCAGGCCATTGGCTAGCTAATATTAATATTAAACTTGTTGGTCCAGCTTTTCCTAAAGAAAAAATTCCCTACCCTGGGTTAGTTTAAATATGCACATATAAACTGTATATTTAGGTTTTTTATTTAAAAAGAAGGCAATAAATAATAAATTCATATTTGTGAAAGAAATTAATGTCCATCAATTTTTATTTAAGACGGAATATCAAAGCTTACAAATTTGTAAAATATATAATGAAAGACATATTCTAAATACTATATAGTACTAATATAATTATATATTATTATGTGTATATATATATTTAAAAATGCAAAGAAATTTACAATTGAAATAAATAAATACCAGCTACTAAATTTTGGTTAAATTGTATAATTCTCCACTCGAAACCAATAAATGAGTATTAACTAAATATAAGAATTTATGTAATTATTAGCAAATCCAATAAATAATAATAAATATTATATATACCTTTGTAGAAAAAAAAAAAAATTTACAAATAATCAAAAATAAATATTAAAAATTCAAATGTTCTCTTCTAATAAATAGTGTAAACGCGATAGTAACGAATACAATAATAATGAAAATGAAAAATAAACTATAATTTAGTGATTGATATCAATTAATAATAATAATAATAAATAAACTAATTATTAGCGACTCCGTATAGCGATAAATAATTGTCAGTAGCACCGATTGCCATGACCATATGATGACCTGCAAGAGCTAACGAAGTAACTTGAGCACCCCATCCAAGAAATCCAGTGTTATATCGAGTAACTGATAGATTTGCTCCAGTATTTGTGTTCCAAACCTTTATAAGTTGGTTGGAATAAACACTAAAAATTTTTGATGAATTAATAAAATATTTAAACTATTATTATATATTATATATCAAAAGAAACAAAAAACCACGTTAAATTAATATTACCTAGCAACAACATTTGCATGATGATGAACATCCAATGCATTCATTTCGGAAGTATTGGAATCAAATATAGTGAGTTTTGAATGGCTTACTCGAATGTCCCATAATTTAATTTCGCCTGACTTGCTTCCTGAAACTAATTCACGTCCTGCCCCACTTTGCCATACAACTTTAGTTATAGTATTTTTGTGCTCTTTGCTAGTCAATATCATGGCGTCTCTAGGTTGAATACGCTTATCATATACACGAATTGCTCCATCTGCAAAACCAGCGACAAAAATATCTCCCCCATCACTTGTAAGACTAGTAATTGGACTACCGGTTCTAGTAGGAATAAGCTAATAAAAAGTATCTTATGTCAATATTTAATAATACAAAATTATAATTCAAATTATTCACTCACATTTATCGTAATTTCACGTGGTGCATCCCAAACTCGAACCATATTATGGTCTCCTCCAACTAACAAAACCCCACGATCTTGTTGCCACTCAGCAACAAGTCCACTTCTTTGGTTGTTAGCCATAATTTCTGGCATAGCACGCCATGATGTTACTAATTCTGTAGATGACGGTAAACTATAATTTCGATATATACGTACTACACCATCGCCTATTATAGCAAATTAAAGGAAAAAAAGATAGGTTTAATACTTTGCAGAAATTAAAAAAAAAATAAGAAATTAAAAATTTTGTACTTGATCCAGTCAATAACATTGAAATTTCGTCTTCGTTGATAAATTTTAATGTCGTTATTTTGCTACCAAGCGGATTTCCATTAGAAAAGGAATGTGTATTGTAATGTTTTCTCCAATTCCAAACACTATCATAACAAAGATTATTCAATTTTGTTTAGTATAATATTTAATTACATATCAAAATACCAATATATATTAAATACTTCACCTAATCATATCTTTGTCGTTAGCAACAATTAAATGCGGTTCGAATTGGTGAAATAATAATCTTGTAGGTTCAGAATCATTATTAAAAAATGCAATTTGCTTATTCCATCGACTTGAACCTTGTAACGATGGAACAATATGTTAGCGCAATTTTAAATAAACAATAAATTAAATTTTTATTATCTATATGTACAAACCAGCTACTTCTTTTAATGGTCGAGTCGATTCGATTATACTTTCATTTCTCCTTCGACGCCATGATCTTTCATTATCATCGATGCTACCCTGTTGTTCAGATTCAGCGGGCTTTAAAAAAAAAATAATAAATTAAATTTTAGTCAAATTAAGGGAAAAAATTATTATTTTTTTATATAATAATATATTTACTCTCATTTGAGGCTCTCGAAAGTATTCGCAACTCCAATCAAAAAATTTTGATTTGAGAGGTAACACACCATCTGCTGGGGGAGGTCTATTTAAAAACTGTCGAAAAGTTTCAGACTCCTGTGAACTCTGTTCTTGTAAAACTTGCCGTATAGTCAATGCAACATTTTCGGCATGATGTGACTCTAACAACTGATCATGAATATAATCAATAACCGTTGATGCAAGCTGAGAAACTTCAACGTCAGGGTCAGCTGATAAATTCAATAGTGCTTTCCAAATACACGTGTATACGGAACTTGATCGAACTGCTGGTTGTCGTGCCGTCGAGTTTCTCCTCCGAATTTCCTGTAATTCCTCATAAGCGGCACGTGTAAACTGTTCAGCATATGCATTTACTATGTGAGAAAGAGCGATCACTAATTCTCGACGGACTATAGGGGAAGCATCATTAATGGCATCAAGAGCACTAATTGCTATATTCTGCTCAATATTAACGATTTGTTCAGTGCGATTCAAATCACCAATAAAAGTTCCTAAAGCATAAAGTGCTGCAGCACGAACTTCAGGAACTGGATCCAATAAAAGATTAAAAAGTTTTATATGGGCTTGATTTTCAATACCCTCGCTCTTTGCATCTACATAATTAGTCCAATATTGACCGATACACAAACAGGCCCATTGTCGTAAAAGTGCGTCAACGTCACTAATACGAGCTAAACATGCATGTAAAACATTAGCTTTTTTACATGCGACTTGTCCTTGATTAAAATTTGTACAAAATATTGCTAAAATAAAAGAACACATTGCACGATGTTCAGATTCATTTTGAATATTTAACATACTACTAGGAGACAAGATATTCACAAAATAAGTGTAACCATTGTCCTTTAATAAATCTTGTTGACAAGACCTATCAACAGCCAAAATTCTAGTCCAAATAAACACCAAAGGAGGTTTCAAATCTGCAGCAGGACTTTGTAGTAATTTTAACACGTATGGGAAGATACCTATTGACAATGCCAAACTAACAGCACGAGGTCCTAAATCCAAATATTTACTTAATAAACCTAATGCTCGAGATCTATGTACTTGACTAAGAAGTACTTGTAACACTATTGGTAATTGTTCAGGTGGTTTTAGCGAAACCGAACCTCTTGATAACCAAACTTGGAATGCTGTTAATTGTTCATCAAAGAAACTAGAGTGTTTATACTCAACCTCCGGACCTCCATCATCAGCATTTAAAAGTGCTGGTAATTGTGCTAAACACATGTCAACAGCAAGATCCCATGAGTCCCACATAGGATGATCGTAAGTGGGCGGTAATTGAGGATGAGACATGGGATTACATTGATAACGTCGCATGATCCTTTCCGCCAGCAGAAAATTTCTAAACAACGCAGCAACCATGAGATCTTGTCGAAATAATTGTTTAAATAAATCTCGGGGTAATACATTCCAAGCAATGGTATCGGTAATAGCTGTAAAAATCCAATTTAATTCTCCTAATGGTGTTCTGCGATCTTGTAATCTACCAGGAAGTTTCAATACCATATCAACCGTAAGAGATGATGGTAAGGGATTTTGTAAAACAAACCACCTTAAAGCTATTTCTATTGGAGAAGTTAAACATGATGTAAATAAATCTGCTGGTAGATCAGGATGCATCGGTAAGGTTTCATTGGGTCCACAAGCAGCCAATTGAATATTAGGAGGCGCTTGTGGAGTTGAACTTGATTCAGCTCTAGCAGCTTCTATATATCGTTGTTCCGCAAAACGTTTAAAACTTTCTAAAATATTTCCTGCAGCAGAACAATCATAAACGTAAACACATGGAGATCCTAACCATGATTGTAAGTCACCTAAAGACACTGGAATGTATTGAGTAAAGTGTTTATTAAAACACCATATTTCTCCACTTGCTGTTGGTTTAGGGACACCATGACCATTATAATGAAATAATATTCGTTCTTCCTTTGCACTCTTTCTTAAATTTGTACAAAACTTTTTCATCTCGTCTACTGAAGGATCTAAATATTGTCTATATCGAGTTCTAATGCTGAGTTGTTCATATTGAGCTTGAAGATTCTTACCAATTGCGTCCAAAGCTTTTGCCGGAGGAAGGGCAAAAGGGTCAACCCAACATTCTAATTTAGCACAAGGGCTCGGTTTAACCACGTCTGGTGGGTCTACGCCAATATTTAAACACAAAACTAAAGCACCTGATACAGTCTTAAGTCTTTCACGCATTCTCCAATCTTGAACCGACCCTTCCTCTCGGTTCTGAACAGTTGTAGAAATATGTCGTTTCTCTGTATAGTATACATATTTAGCCTCCGTCGTATTCGTTTGATCAATTTCATTAGTTCCACTAATTGCATCTTGATCCATTGTCCCTTCAAAAGTTAACGCAGATCTTCTGCCTATTACTAATATTACTATTATTATCTGTTTTTTTCGTTTCGTTCGTCAATGAATATACAAAGTAACGTATTAGTTTTGGAATTAAAATCCAAAAATAACATTAGAATTTTAAATCGAACTCCAAAGAATGAAAAAAAAAGATTTTTTTCTATGGAGTCTCGAGAATTGATCATCAAATATTTATACCAAATAATTAAAGTCATATGATTTACCAGCTATAATTTATTAAGATCATATCTGATTGAGTGTGATTAATAAACTCGTATCATATGCCAAATACAGAAATACAGCTTCAACTATACCAGAATTAGTATTTATGAACTTTTGGTGAAATCTGGAAAAGTTGATAACAATCTATAAGATCAAATTTGATTATATTTGAAACGAACCGTAAAAAAGCAACCTGATCTAACACAATTACAGATTAGCAATATAGTAAGTGCATAATTAACGTTTATTTACTGCGGATATAAAGATATTGGGCTGAATAAGGAATTGCGCACAATATTGTGTTTCCATCTATTATGATCGTTAAATTTGGATATGATCAATTTTTCTCAATTTTTGATTTATTACAATTAGTTAGTCAATAAATATTAAAGTTTCTTTATTTATAAATAGAATGATGACACCTATTTTATGCACGAGAGAATTGTCTGTCTACACACGGTGTGACGCATATTCACCTAGAACTTACTTATGCTAGATCCAAGCAAATAATTGCTTTATTCCAATAGAGATTGATAATTTATTAATATATCTCTCTTTATTACAAAATCTTTAGTAACAAGATACTATAAAATTTAATAGAAAGTATTTATCAATAGTTACATTTAATATTTTTGAATTTAAGTCGTGAAAAAAATAACGTAATATTCATAATATTTCGTAAGAAAAAAAATTCATTAGATAATCAAATTACACTTGAACTTATTTGACTAATCATAATTTAAAATTAAGTTTTAAAATTCGAAAAACTGATAAAATTGGCAAAAATATAAATTTTATTAAGTACTTTGCTGACGAACTTTATATCATCAATCAAAACCGCAAAACAAGAATAAATTTAAAGGAAAGCCGGATTCTATGCTTTTATGAGAAAAACATTATATTATCATATATATATATATATATTGTAATATCGGCATCGTGGCACTGTGGTTATGTAGTCATCTTGCATGCTTTAAATTTGGTGCAGCATTATATATATATGATGATTAGATTTCTGTAATTCGCGTTTGCAGAAATAAAATCCTCGTCGGTAAAAAAATATAATAGAGTGAATAGAAATAAGTGTAATGATGTTGTTGAGACATAATTTCGGAGGTGTGTTTGGTTATCTGCGTTAATAGAAACAAACTATCCGTCCGGAATGTCTTGCATTAAATGGAGCTTATTTCCCTCTTTGAAAGCGGTGACATATATTCTGTTTACTTTTTCTTATACTAGTATAAATTTCTAATTATTCTACGTACAGTATAAGCATACAGCGCAAAAATAATAAAAGCATGTGAAAATTAACGTTTTTTTTTAAACTAAATTAATATGGATTTTTTTGGAGCGTCGATTATTCCTTTAATCGTTTGGATTCCTTAGTTACTACAGTCCCAACGTACCACATGATTCCGCCGGTTCTTTAGCAACTTCGTTCACTGGTATATTTATTGACAAAGCAAAGATAATCCTGTTGAAAAGGATCCGAGTATCATTGCTATCATCAATACGAGACCACAAATACCATTGGCTGAACTACAGACATCATTTTGAAGGTCGATAATCAGTAGATCGGCAATCTTTGATAATATTATCCATACAAGATATCATTGTTAGTCTCGTCACAGGATGATATTCACTTTTCAATAAATCAAAAAGTGAGAGCACATCTTGAGAGTATTTTGTTCTATCAGTTGACAATTCTTGCAAATTTTTTTTCAATACTCCATTCGCATCTTGTAAGTTGATATCTTGTCGTATTTCTAAATTTCTCTCGATCATAATTATGCCTTTCATTCCACATTCATCATTGATGGACGGTTCTTGAATTTTGCCCTAAAATAATTGTTCATTTTCTAATTGCTTTAAAGAAAAAGAAATTCCGTTTGTTGTTCGAAAATACTTGAAATTGACCGAAAGGGATCATACTGCGTGAGTTTCTCTCGCGATTTATTGTTCTTCCTTGGGGATCGCATTCTCTATAGATTTAATATAATTTTTCTTATGAAAAAGACTTCAGATTAGTCAATACCTATATCAGTTGTTCATAATATTTATAATATTTTAATATTTTTACTGCCTGAAGTATACTATTCTTGCCTCACATTTATTAAATCGAGTTAAAATGCTCTTTAATGATTATTAATCAGAATCACGTCATGGAAAACTAGCTTTTTTAATTAATAGTTATTATGCTAATAAATGATGTTTATAAAATTTAATATAATTAATATAATTAATATAATTTAATAATTGATTGTGATATGATGATTTCTGAATTAAAAAGTAATTTAATCTAAAAAAAAAAAAATTATTATGTTAATAACTTACAGTATTTTCTTTATTCTTTTATAAAGTAAGTTACTTACCATTTACTCCTAGTGCTTTTAATCTTTCTTTGGCTTTTTTATCATCTTTTAATGCAGCTCGTTTATACCAAAGTTTTGCCATTTCTAAATTTTGAGCATAACCTAAATTTCCATTATAATATCCTTCTCCTATTTGAAATTGTGCGCTTCCGCTGCCATTTTCAGCAGCTATTCGTAAATATTTAACAGATTCTTCTTTAGAATTGGTTTGAATTTTTGATTTTATATCTTTATCAAGTAAAGCAAATGCATAACGATATTGAGCATCAGTAATACCATCATCAGCAGCCTCTTTATATAATGCTAAAGCAGCTAATTTGTCTTTTTGATTGAATAAACCCCCCCATAAATAGAAAGCCTTCCAATATTTTCCAAGACTATTTTGATTTTCTGCTTGTTCATTAAAACATTTCCATGCTTTTTCATGATTTTTTTCCTTATATGCTTTTACACCTTCACTAATTGGAATCAACGGCTCAAAATCAACATCAATATTACTAAAATCAACATCATCGGGGATTTCGTCACCCTTATCATTTAGTGAATTGGAAGGTATATCAAAATTCGCAATTTCTTGAGGTTCAAGGCCTGGCGAACAACCAGGTTTAACATACTTCTTAGATAAATCATCTAATTGAATCAATAACTTCGTAATGCTTATACGAATATTAGGATCTTGATTCCAGGCTTCAATAAAAAAAAAGTCAAGATACTATTCAGTTCTTAAAATAAAATAATTATTTTTTATATGAATAGTGATTTACCTTCTTTAATTATTTCTTCAAATCCTTTTTGGATTTTAGCATCAGATGAATCAGGTAAAGCAAGACTATTTTCAAATTGAATTTTTTCTCTTTCACCACTGATCACATGATCTAAAATATCTTCAAGTTCCATATCTTCATAGGGTTTTCTTTCAAAAGTTAATTCCCATAAGAGCATTCCAAAGCTACAAACAAATATATAATATTTTTAGATAATATTTATGGTGTATAAAATTAAAAATTAAATGTTTCTAAATATACCTAAAAATTTCACATTTATGATCATAGCGGTATTTAGGATCTATTAATTTTTCAGGAGCAAGCCAACGACCATCTTCAATTCGACCAGCCATTGATGTGCTCGTATGATCTTTTCCACGAGAAAAATAAAAGTTTGTCAATTTTGCTACGTTTCTTTCTGTTACCTTTTTTTTTTAAAAAAAATAAATTTTGATTTCATCGATTGTTATGTATGCAAATTTAGAAAGAAAAGAATGATCATACCATTACATTACTGCATTTCAAATCATGATGATAAATATTTAATGCGTTTAAATAGGCGACACCTCGACAAATATCAAGTGCATAAGATAACTATAAAATGCAGAAAATACAAAAAATATAGCGTGACATAAAATTTTAAGACGATAAAATTTAAGAAAAATAGTGAGAAGATATTAACAAACCTTTAGTTTCAAAGGAATTAAAGGAATTTTGTTTTCTTTGTATAGTTCCCTTAAACTTCCAAGCTCGGCCCATTCTAAAACCATAACTGTAGCACCATCAATAATTGAAAGCCCGTAAAATTGAATAATATTTGGTGATTGAGTAGCTTTTATACAAATAGCCAAAAACCGTTGCGTAATTTTATAATCAGGAGAATCTTCTTCAGGAATATTAATAGCTCTACAAGCTACTTCAATAGCATTCATATACATTCTTCTTTTTGTTCTTCCCCGAAACCCACGCGTATCACTCTGTCTTCCTACTACTGGTTCGGTTAATTTATTACTATCTATTCTTTTCGTCTCATTAATTTCAGACTTTGATATCATTGATTTTATATTTTGAACTTCTTCATAAATGAGGGACATTTTGATACTATTCTCTTCGATATTATCACCAATTTTTTCGAGAAACTGATTTTTTTAAAAAAAAAATTTATCAAATTAAATTAATTAACCATATGTAAAATTATTATAAAATAAAAATTAGAAAATAAAAAGAAAAGAAATACGACCTCATTCATTTCACTTAAATCAGCTTTCAAACTTTCACTATCAATTTGTCTTTGTTGATCATTGGCAATAGCCATAGTAAAATTTAAATCTTTCATAGCATTATCGTAATCATCCATAAGTAAATTAAACTTTTCTGAAACACTTCTAGCTTTAAAATAAACTTTAAATCCTTGTAATTGTGAAACTTTTTCAGCGAAAGTTTTAATTTTACCTAAAATTACAACGAATCTATTAAATGCATGATACCATACTTGACTTTTAAAATTTTTTTCATTTTCTTTTCTTCTACGAATTAATTGATCGATTGCGATTTCTGATAATCTTGCTCTATCTAATAGTGAATTACAAATCCTTTTATTATATTGTGAAGTTTGATATATATTTATTATTTCTACAATTGCAGTGGCAGCTAATCCAATTAATGGTATAAACGGTGTTATAGCCTCGCCTGCTTGAGCTGTTATCTGAAGTGCTTCTTTTGCGAAAGCTAAATTTGACGATTTTATTTCATTTAACCCTTTTGTAACTTCTATCGCACCTTCTATAGCATCTGTTACTGTCATATTTGTTTAATAATATTAAAATTAGATAATTTGGGATTATTTATAAGAAATTTCAAAATATCAAGAATGAGTAAATGCCAAGATTGATTTTATGTTTTACAACCAAAAATAACGCAATAAATCTAAATTTGGTTATGATTGCAATAATGATGATTTTTTAGATTAAAATTTTTTGTTTGTTATTTTTTGACTTTATGACTAATTAATTCCATTGCTGAATTCTTTCAAAGCTTTTCTCTAATTTAATAAAGTTCAAAAGAATTTTCTAAAAGAAGTATGACAAATATTGTTATAAGGTAATTCAATATTCAGAATTCTCGGCGTAAATTTGAAATTTGAAATTATTGAAAATATTGATATAGTAATTATGTAATACGATCAGCTATTGTACAATAAGTACAGTAAGTACATTAATGATACCAATAAAAAATACATATTGCTAAAAACTTTTAGAGTAATATATAATTAAAATTAGATAATTATTAAATTGAAAATATTTGTTATTGATTATTTTACTTGTCAAAAAATTTATATTTTATCATAATTATATTAGTAAATTTAATTATACAAAATAAATTTATATTTAAACTTAATTATAGTAAATTGTATTTGTATGATTTTTATTTTATTTTAGTTTACTTTATAGCATTAATTAGGGTTTTTTTATTGATAAATAAATATTTTATTTTATTTATTATTTTAAAATTCACTATAAAAATATTTATTTTTTTTATTTTCCTATTTATATTCATTAATTCTATTTTTTAGCAATTAGTCTTCTTTATTATTACATTTGTTTTTTGCTTAATAATTAATTATTTTATTTTAAATACTTTAATAATATAAATTTTATATAATAAATATAAGTATTAAAAATCAAATAAAAAATTATATTATAAATAATTGCTTTTTTTTTTAAAAAAAAAAAGGTAAGCTGTTATATGAAAAAGATAATAATTTGCAAAGTATAATAACAAAAATATCAGTAATGTTTAATAAATATTACAGCAAATATTTCCAAATATAATATTTAAATCAAGTAAACTTTATTAATTAAATTGTTCAGTTCCTACAAAATACTAGTTAGTAAAGAAATTTATTAATTAATATTATCAGTTTAATTTAAATTACAAATATTGTAAAAAAGAGAAAAAATAATATAAAATAAGCAATTAATTAAATATAAATTCTAATTAGATTCTAAACTTTCATTTTTTTTATTTTTATAGATATGGTTTTGTCATATTATAATATCGCTTATTTATATACATTTAACTTATACAAATAAGAAAATAAAAAATATATAAGGACTAAAAAATAAGCATTATAAGACATTAAAGAAAAAGTCAACTATATCATTATTAAAAACAATAATACAACTAAAATTTCTAGATAACAGTCAAGATTTACCTAAAAATTTGATTAAATGACTACTACAATGGAAAGAAAAGTCATTTCATTTATTTCATTTGCATTCCTATTTTTTTTGTCTTTACTAGTAGTAATATTATACTTTTTTCTTTTCTAATTTGCATCTCATTTCTAGGCTTCCAATTAATATCTGCATATTACTATATATATTTCTTTTTTTATTAAAAAGAATAATGAAGATAAAACAAATAGATCATTAAACTATATATAATGAAGTCTATATATTTTTCTTTCAAAATTGCAATCTAACAAAATAATTCAATTAGATAAAAATCTATAAATTTTTCTTTCTAACTAAATAGCCCTATAAAATATTATCAATAGGAAATGATAGATTCTAAACTTTCATAATTAAGAATATGAACAGATTCTAATTTAATTTCAAATTATATAGAACAATATTATGAAATATAATAATTTTTAAAGTATTTGAGCAATTAGAATTTTTTAAACTTTTTAAAGCAGCATGTTTATTGCTCTTTTCATTTGTTTAAAATATGGAATAAAACATTTATTTTTGAATAAATATTACAGTATAAAAGAATAAAATAGAATAAAAAATTTATAAAACATACATTATTGTACAATATTACAATAAAATAAGTTAAATCTCATTCCCAATCCACATTTTCGTCATCAAAATCTTCAGGGATGACGAATTTATTAATATCCTTTTCTGAAAGAGATAAAATCCTACTAGTATGATAAGTCTGATTTGTCGGCTTATTAGCTTTTCGAGATCCTGAATAAGTTTTCTTTTCATTATCATATGCAATACTTAATTCTTCAGTTTCAAGAATTTGTCTATATTGATATTTAATTACATCAAGGATTTCTTCAATAGTTGGCCTCTTCGAAGGATCTCCGTTCCAGCATCGCTTAATAAGGCTTTGAATTTCATTTGGAATCTCGGATAACATTGGTGGTCTCAAGCCAGAGATAATGTTAGAAATAGTCGAAAGATCGTGGGGAATATCATTAAATGGTGGAAATCCACCAAAAATCTCCCACATCAACATACCAACACTATATATATCACTTGCTTTTGTATATTTCTGAAGTAGGAATAATTCAGGAGCCATGTATGGAACAATTCCATACAATTTTCTTACATTATCATCGTCTACTGGACCGCATAATCCCAAGTCAGCAATTAAACATCTATTTGTATATAAAAGGATGTTCCCACTATGCAAATCGTAGTGAACCAAGTCTTGAGCATGAATATCTGATAAAGCAAAACAAATTCGCCAAATGGCGAACACTTTTTCTTTCAAACTCATTGTTTCATGATTCTTTTCTAAATAACTTCGTAAATTTCCTTCGCCAAAATAATTCATAACTATAGCGTAATTGCCATCTTGAGGAAATTTTGTAATGCCATATGCATTAACAATATCACCAGATCTAACATTGACAAGTGCTTTAGCCTATATAAAAAAAAAATAGAAATAAAATATATCGTTTATATCCTAAATATAAAAACACTGAACGTATAAAACATGATATATACCTCATCAAAAAACTCTTTAGTGGGTTGTTTTGAATTGTTTAAAGATTTAAGTACAACCTTATGAGAACCCTGATAAATAAATTCTTGTTTGCTTTCATTCCAATCTAGTATTGCTCCCCGTTTCCACTTTGCAGTATATATTTTAGCAAATCCACCATCTGCTAAGTATTCTACATCTTCAAATTGATCGAACGAAATCCATTCTATAATATGTAAAGGAAGCGCTGATTTTGACTGGCATTCACGAATGAACTCATCAATAGCTTCGCTTCCAGACGCCCAAGTTCCAAGGAGACTTTTTAAATATTGAATGATGCAATTTTCGCAGTAACGCGTAGAATATCTCGTTAACTTGCAATGAATACATTCAAACGGTTCGCCCCTTTTAAACAATTCTTTTTCTCTTTCAATATTCCTGGAAACTCTATCTCGCAAAAGTTCTTTTTCTGGCCGTGAAAGCACAGTATTTTCAGATAACACTTTATTGAAAATTTCTATGGTTTCTTTATAGTTCGATGAATGTAACTCAGAATAGTAAATAAGCTCAAAGTAAATTTTTGATATTAACTCTTTGTCATTTGAATTTTTCTTAAAAAAAGAAGAAAAAAAAGAAATTATATATTCAACGAACGAAAGCACATCCATTTTTTTTTTTTTTTTGATCCTAGTGATGATATACGAGCACCTACCTACCGCACTAACTTTTCAAGGTAATTAAACTTTACTTATTTCAAACAACCATCTGGTTTGCCGATCATTTAATTTGTATTAATAAATCCTAATTTAGCTATACGCGTAAAAAAAGAAATCATATCTTCCATACTTGGAACTTTCTTTATATGTACTTGTTCAGAAATTATGGAATTTGAATGATAAATGATAATATTTTGACTATAATTTAGATTCTTACTGGAATAAAATTCATAGTAATATCTGATTTTTAATACAAAATGGAATTGGTGTCAAATTGTGCAGAGATATTTTGTTAATAATACATCAAAATAGACAAGTGGTCATGAAGTTATTGATAATTCAGTAATTAAAGAGTTTCAATTTAAAGCAAAAAATGAATTTGAATTTATAGAATAGATTCATTTTTAATAAATTTAATAATAATATTAAAGAATAAAGATGAAATTGGTATGGGTAAATTTAGTACAGTTTATTTTACTATGTAAAAAAATAGACCTTTAATAAATTGGAAATTTTGAAAGAATTAATAGAATTGGGTAATAAAGTTTTTATAAACTTTTGGTTATTCAAATAATATTAAAAAAATTTTACATGAATTAAAGACTTATATAAAATATATTACAATATATTCAAATAATTTTTTTGCTATATTTAAATATTATAGTTTAAGACTTCATTTCAAAATAAAATTTAAGTAAATATTTACAAAAAGATTTTTAACTTTTAAATAGAATGAAAATAAATTAAGATTACCTGCAAAATATCTAGTAAATTAAAAGTAGTTTATAATTTTCATATTGAAAATATTTTAGATCTTATAATTTTTTTATTTTATAATTATATTTAAATTCAAATTTCTAAATTATTTTTGTAATATTTAAATATTTATTATTATTTTTTCATTTATAATATTTGCAAAATTTTTAAATTATTATAAAATGAATATATTAAATATAAAAAAAACTATATAATTTTCAAGTAAAATTATTAGATATTCAATAATTATAAAAAAATAATACAATTATTTTATTAAAATGAATTCTGTTAATAATAGCAATTTAAAATAATTTAATTCTAAATTTGCACTTTTTATATAAAAATAAACTAATTTACATATTATTTTTATTATTAATCTGCACTTTATATAGTTACATTTCTATATAATTAATTTAATTTAATTGAAAAATAAATAATAAAAAAAGTAATTTTAAAAAAATTTTATATGCTGAATTTTATAATTTAAAAAAATTAATATAATAAGATAAATAGTTACATTTTAGATAACTTATTTCTTATAAAAGGCTGTAGAATGTAATCTAAGTTGATAAATAATATATATCAGAAAAAGCTATAAATCAAATGAAATGCTAATATATATTAATTTAAATATATATAGTATAATATCTAATTATAAATGTAAATAAGTAATATTTATTTAATAAATTCTTTCAATTACAGATTATCAGATAATTTGTCTTAACTGATAGTTGACCCATATTAAATCAATAATAAATTATAATAAACAATGTGACCCATCTAAAATATAAATGACATAGTATAACTAATTCTATTAATGTTTTTGTATACGTACGAATGAAATTATACGTAACGTTTAATTATTAAACAAAGAAATTTATAAGAATTTAAGATATAAAGCCGTAGGAAACACAAATACACAATTTATTAATCTAAAAAGAAAATAGTTATTAATAATTTAATTATTTTCTTTTCTTTTTTATAAAAAAGTTACTTACCATCTACTCCTAGTGTCTTTAATCTTTCTTTGGCCTTTTTATCATTTTGTAATGCAGCTCGTTTATACCAAAGTTTTGCCATTTCTAAATTTTGAGTATAATTTAATCGACCTTTTGAATAATTTTCTCCTACTTGAAATTGTGCACTCACACTACCATTTTCAGCAGCCATTTGTAAATATTTAACAGCTTCTTCTTTAGAATTAGGTTTAATTTTTGATTTTAAATTTCTATCAAGTAAGGAACATGCATAACGGTATTGAGCATCTGTAACACCATTATCAGCAGCTTCTTTGTATAATTCTAAAGCAGCTATTTTATCTATTTTTTGATCGAAAAATCCTTCCCATAAGTAATAGGCCTTCCAATATTTTCCAAGACTATTTTGATTTTCCGCTTGTTCATTAAAACATTTCCATGCTTTTTCATAATCTTTTTCTTTATGAGCTTTTATACCTTCACTAATTGGAATTATCGGTTCGAATATTTCGTCAATATCAATCGAATCAAAATCAATATCATCGGGGATTTCGTCACTCTTATCATTTAGTGGATTTATAGGTATATTAATATCTGCAATTTCTTGAGGTTGAAGGCCTGGAGAACAACCAGGTTTGACAGACTTCTTAGTCAAATCATCTAATTGAATCAATAATTTCGTAATGCTTATACGAATATCAGGATCTTGATTCCAAGCTTTAATAAAAAAAATCAAGATATTGCTCAGTTCATTAAAAGAAATATTTATTTTTTATACAAATAAAGATTTACCTTCTCTAATAATCTCTTCAAATCCTTTTTGGATTTTAGCGTCAGGTGAATTAGGTGAAGCAAGACCTATCTGTTCAAATTGAATCTTTTCTCTTCCGCCATTAATTACATAATTTGAAATTTTTTCAAGATCCATGTTTTCATAGGGTTTTCTTTCAAAAGTTAATTCCCATAAGAGCATTCCAAAGCTACGAACGAATATAAAATATTTTTAATTAAATTAATAATAATGTATCAACGCGTAAAATTAAATGTTTCTAAATATACCTAAAAATTTCACATTTATGATCATAACGGTATTTATTGTCTTTTAATTTTTCAGGAGCAAGCCAACGACCGTTCTCAATTCGATTAAAAACTGATGTTGTCCTTCCATCTTTATCACGCGAAAGATAAAAGTTTGTTAGTTTCGCTACATGTTTTTCTGTTACCTTTTTAAGAAAAAAAATTAATTTTAGTTAATTTCATCGATTACTATGTACCATCTAGTATGAGCGACATACCATCACATTACTGCACTTCAAGTCATGGTGATAAATATTTAATGCGTTTAAATAAGCGATACCACGACAAATATCAAGTGCATAAGATAACTATAAAATATAAAAAAATACAATAAATACAGCATGCCGTAACTTTTAAGATGACAAAATCGAAAAGATATTAACGAACCTTTAGTTTCAAAGGAATTTTGTTTTCTTTGTATAGTTCCCTTAGACTCCCAAGCTCAGCCCATTCTAAAACCATAACTGTAGAACCATCAATAATTGAAAGCCCGTAAAATTGAATAATATTTGGGGATTGAGTAGCTTTTATACAAATAGCCAAAAAACGTTGTGTCATTTTAGAATCTTTTTCAGGAATATTAATAGTTCTACAAGCTACTTCGATAGCATTCATATAAATTCTTTTTTTTGTTTTTCCCCTACTAGAACCACGCGTATCACTCTGTCTTCCTACTACTGGTTCGGTTAATTTATTACTATCTATTCTTTTCGTCTCATTAATTTCAGACTTTGATATCATTGACTTTATATTTTGAACTTCTTCATAAATGAGGGACATTTTGACACTATTCTCTTCATTATTATTCTCAATTTTTTCGAGAAACTGTATTTTTTTTTTAAAAAAAAAAAATAATAAGTTATCAAATTAATTTATTAGTTATATATTATTAAAATAGAAATAAAAAAAAAAGAGAAAATGCGAAACCTCTTTCATCTCGCCTATATCAGCATTCAAACTTTCATTATCAATTTGTTTTTGTTGTTCATTAACGATAGCGATAGTGAAATTTAAATCTTTCATAGCATTATCATATTCATTCATAAGCGTATTAAATTTTTCCGAAACTTTTTTAGCTTTAAAGTAAACTTTAAATCCTTGTAATTGTGAAACTTTTTCAGCAAAAGTTTTCATTTTATCTAAAATAAAAACAAATCTATCAAACGCATTATACCATATTTGACTTTTAAAATTTTTTTCATTTTCTTTTCTTCTACGAATCAATTGATCAATTGCGATTTCTGATAACCTTGCTCTATCTAATAATGAATTACAAATCCTTTTATTATATTGTGAGGTTTGATATATTTTAACAATTTCTACAATTGTAGTAGAAGCTAATCCAATTAATGGTATAAATGGTGTTATAGCTTCACCCGCTTGAACTGTTATTTGGAGTGCTTCTTTTGCAAAAGTCAAATTTGATGATTTTATATCATTTAAACCTTTTGTAACTTCTATAGTACCTTTTATAGCATCTGCTACCATTTTTTTGTTTAATAATAAAATTTAATTGTGAAAAACTTTGATAATTTGATAATTTAATTAAATGTAAAAAAGATAATAATTTGATAATTTAATTAAATGTAAAAAAAATAAGGATTATTTATAAGGAATTTCAAATATCAAGATGAATGCGTAATAACAAGATGATACTTCAATTATTCTTTATATATACTTTTGATTACAACTAAAAAAAAAAATGCAATAATCCAATTTTGGATATGATTAAAAAAACACCGTAATAATATCAAATTTGATTGATTGAATTTAATATTTTTTTTTTTTGTTTTGTATGTTAAAATATAAATACAATAAATTTCAAAGAGCAGTGAGACAAATAAATAAAAGTACGAATATGATATGATATTCACGATATTCATGATATTAAAAATTCTCTGGTGGTGTAAAAATGATCAGTACTATATAGTATATTCATGGCGGGGGAGAAAACTTTTAAGAATTAACTATTAAATCTATTAACCCTAATTGTAAATGCTCTTGGGGGGTTTTTTTTTATCTTTTTTAATGTATGCTTTAAAAATTACGCGTTTTTTTGCTGTATTGTGATATGCAGTGATCGTTGACTCATGCGAAACAATTACTGTAATACATAATACGACAGTACTTCCCGAAATTTCAATTGAAATTTCGTAGCCAATAATTGTCATTTGTGTTAAACAAAATACTATTTTTAATTCAAAAGTAATGTTATATTTACTTGAGAACCAGTCGGTTTTTTTTACTGCGTAATTCAACATATTAATAATAAATATTGTATAAGCGACTTTTATTTATATAAAATTGGAACCGATTTGTCAAACCATGCTTAGTTTCTTTTTTTATTTTGCAATTACAATTCTGATATCTAAAAACATTTAGAAACCCTGCTCCCCTTACCTAATCCCAAGGTAGAAATATATTAGTTAATTATTATGTATTTTGACGATCGTCATTTCCATATTTTTTAAATTAAAAGAAACCATCAAAATGGAAACAAATTAAAATTAGAAATTATGTCACATGTACAGTAGTTTCATTTATGGTAAATATTTAAACTTCAAGTCACACGATTAAAAAAGTTCAACTGAAAGTTTATGATATTAATTACAAAATAAATAAACACATATAGGTCCTGAGTCCTGACAACATATGGTCTTCTTACGGATATCGATTCCGCATATAACTTCACAGCTATTCCGTAACCGCAATTACCGTATATTGCCCCCCGGGTATCTTGCAAATTGACCTTGTACCAATGCACACACCATATTGCGGAACCGTATGCATAGTATTTCCTTCCTTCACCTAAAAAGTTCCGTTTTCTATTGATTTTGTTATTAAAGAATCTAATTTTACGCAGATATTATACATAAATATTTTTCTGGTTATTATACAAGCTTTTAAATACATTCTATTCATAATAAAAATTCGAATTACAGATATGAATATACGGTAGTATATTTCGACGGCATCTATAAAACTACAGTCCTACACGCTTATAAAGATATCTAACGGTATAAATTTATTTAAATATACTTATATAAGATGAGATAAAGTATTTAATTTTAAAAGATTAATATTTATCTATAAATACTATTAAAAAATGGGATAAATCTTCTTGCCCTTTCTCAATTGAGAGATTATTAGGATACTGACTTGCAATTTCATTATAAAGTATTCTCAAAATTTAATATAATTGGTTAACTAGTACTCAGGTTCTCTCCAAAAGCATAATATTTATTTAATAGTTCCTTGATCGTGTTCTCAAGTTATTTTTCAGTCTAATTGCAATAAATAGTTCATGCATTTATCTGTCTGCGTAGTATTTCAGTTCGGTTCGCGTGATTTATTCATGAGATTCTCTTATAAATAAAAAAGAAAGTTCCAGATAGTAGACGTTTGGTCACAAGTCCACATTTTAGTTTGAAGTGTAACGAAGGACTATATAATTATACGTAAGGAGTCCGAATGTCAATCAAGCATGTGACTATGCACAATAACAATAATTTCCGTTGTCTAGTGTTTAAAAGACATTATAGCCAAACTTGATTGTAATCTTTCTATCCTAATGAAAGCTAATTTTAGTGTTTTTTTTTGTTATTGTTCAATTTGTCAAACAATACCAAAAATATTAACAAATACATATCCTAAAATTAGATTATAATTTACTAGTATAAGGATACGCAGATCTCTACTTTTATCTCCTTAATTCGCATAAATAATATTCAGTGAAATAAACATATTTAAATGAGACGAAATTGAAACAGATTATGATTGTTTTTTTTAGTGCGTTTTATTTCCACTTTTTTTTTCAATATGAAATTTTCTTATTTTAGACAAAAAGACATTCGTGATATAAGGTAAATATTTTTGAAAATAATTTATAAATTAACTTATTGTTACCGTAAAAAATATGAAATTTTATTATGAAATTTTATTATTTTATTAGTAATGAAGATGATTCTAGAGATACAAGATTAGTCTTTTCTAGTGGAAGATATAAATTTTCTACAAAAAGATATCACATTTTGGAATCGGATAATTTTATTGACGCCAATAAAGTTGAATACAAATTTGTTAAAGATGATATTAAAGAAGACAAATATTATATTCGAAAAGTTGAAAATTCAAAAAAAGATTTTATGTTTGTAGATTTAGGAGGATTCACAACATATAAAATTTTAGGCGGTTGTATAAATCAGATTACTGCCCGATTTTTAGAAATTTTTAAAGCTAATCTTTTAAACGTTATGTTTAAAACACCCGATGATACTGTTGAAATATTTAAATTTCGTTTAAATATTTATTTTGGTCGAGAATTATTTTCTAATATTGAAAAAGAAAGTTTTACTCCTAATGAATGGATTAAACATAGGCGTGAACCTGAAAAAAATATGCCATCATTCCATCATTATGCACCTCAATTTTTGAAAAAATTGCTTAAACTTCAAGGAGAGTTTAAATTTCAATTGGAAGAAAAGGAAGATTATGAAATAACTAAAGGAAAAGTTCATATTTATTTTAATCATGGTTTAAAACGAAGAATGGCTAAATTAAAATATAGTGAAGAAGATTCTTTATGGAAATTAACCGAATTACGTGATACTAATACACTAGGTAAATTAATTTACTAATATAACAATTTAATTATGATTATATTATTAATTTTCTTTTCTTTTATTTAGTAAATTTGGATTTAATATCTGGAACTGAAGAACCAGATTTTAGATTTTCTATGAGAATTAGATGTGAAACATATAAGTCTCCTATTATATCTAAAATTGAAAACATTGTAAATGAAGCACATACTAAAAATTCTAAACCAAAAAATGGATTATGGCTTCAGGCTAAATATTTTGAAGGTGTACTTGAAAATGTTGAGATAAGCCAAACTATCACAAAAAAACGATTCATGTAAGTTTTTATAAATTAATTTTATTTTAAAATTTAATATCATCTTTTCATAATGATATTTTATTTATTAGAAATGAAAATTATAAAATCTCCGTTCATACTCTTAAAAAAGAATCGAAAGGTGAATTATCAGATCAAGAAACAATATGTCTTGAAAGTTTAAATTGGAGAGATATAGAGGATGAAAATAAATTGGGTTATGGAGATATCTATAATACAATCTCTAAACCAATACATTATGTTAGGGGAATGATGAATGAACTTAAAAAAATACGTTGACATTTAATGTTATTATGATTTTGATTTGGATTATAAATTATAGTTTTTTTTCAACATATACTATATAAGTATTTATTGGAGCACCAGATTTATTATTTTTCATTTTGTATTATTAACAATAAAATGAATTACAAAGTTTTTTGTCAATAACCTTTCATTATAACAATACAAAGTGAACTAATATCATGATAAAGATTACAGATATATTTCTTATTTATTTACGTAATTAATGAAAAGAACTCATGTGGTACAATTTCCAAAAATACTAAAGATATGGTATTAAATATTAATATCACTAGTTCCCCACCATCAATTATACCCAATATGAGTATTATAAAAAAAAAATTAATAAAACATGATCAATTTTTCATCGCCTTCTTGAACGAAATCATCATTATTACATAGTAATAGTAATGGATAGTTACTAAACTGTTGGAGGACAGTTAACTACGACTCTTTCTTTAGTAAAACATGAACCATCTATTTGTTTTGTAATCACTATATCCGGATTATTTGAGTAAATAGTAAAATATGCTATGGCGGCACCAATTAATCCTTCTTTAGGTGCATTATAGCATTCTGAAGGGTCTGCATGGAGTGAATAGTAACCGGGACCTAATTTTCTTAGTCCATAACCCTCCATATTAACAAATTTACCATCAACTACTTTCCATAATGCATACTCGGTAACTTCGGTTGATACAGTCTTTGAATTGCAGGTAATAGTTAAATGCGTGTTAATACTATTTGCAGGTATATTTTCCGTAACTGTATTTGACTTGTGAATATAATCAAAAGCGCATTTGCATTCAACTTGCTGTTGTTGTCGAGCCACAATAGCTGTAGCATGAGTATAAAAACTGTTTACAACCAAGATTATAAGGACTATAAAGAGACTCTTCAAAGTATGGATTCTCATATTTAAGACTTTTTAACGTGTGAGAATTGAAAAAAGAATGGCAAATGAACAATAATTCGTTTATAATTACATTCTGAAACATTTATCCCTCGAATACATAAAAAAAATAGTATTTGCAATGCTGATCATATCTCTAAATACGTAACAATAATGGTATGCGGTGTTAAATACTCTGTATAGGATATAAGAGTATTCTGCTAAACTAAAAAAAGCAATATAATTGAGATAAATTCATTTCAAATTACAATACTGTATATCTTATTAATTAGCAAGAAACACGCAAGTATATTTCTATAATCCTCAGTTTAGCTTCTCTCCAAACTTTCTTCAGGATTGATAATAAATACAAATTAAATCATTGACAAGATGATGTAATAGTTACACGTAAAGATTTTCCGCAGAAATCACCCATTGTGAATAATTATATTTTATTAGTAAAAAATATATGGTTAGGAATATACCGTATATTCATTTAAAATATTTCGAATACGAGATGAAATGACATTTTTCCTCTATTGTATGTATCCCGGTCCTCAGAACAAAGTAATCGTTGTGTCCCTGTTGATGTTCACCTAACAGCAAGAAGGAATTTCAAAAATTATAGTGAAGTCAAAATATCTCACTATGCCATTTCGACTTTATATCTTTCACATTTTACGCAACGATCAATAATTGGAGTATTTCACACTATTACCGTTTTGGCATTTCTTATTTCTAATATATTATGAATTTAAACAAAACCTCCTTCTACCAAAAATCGCAATTCAGAATCAATCATTTTATGTACAAGCACCTGCTTTTGTATCATATATTACTATGGATTCAGCAAGACGTTAACTAACTAGCCGATTATAGGATAGGAATATGTTTGCAATTGTAATATTGTTTCGTCACTAACTTTGAGGAAAAGCACGTTTTTATCCTCGTAATGTAATAATTGTCAATCTTTTTTGGTAAAAACGGACTTGCATACAATAAAAATGAAACGGACAGTTGATGTCATTACGATAAGCTTTTTTTATAAAAATTTTTTTTTTCTTCAATATGAACAAAACACAGTCTAAACAAAATATCAATTCCTATAACGACAGTATTAAGTAAATATGTAAAATTCATTACTCTATATGAATTTTTTCTAACTAAACAAAATGTTTAATTAAAAATATATATACATTTTTCTTTAAAATAGAGATGATATAATTTTAATTAAAAAATTTATCACCGGAGAATATAAATTTCCTATAAACGATTTGTCATCTTGGAAATAGATAATCTAATTAATGCCAATGAAGCTAAATTTAAATTTGTTAAAGTGGATGATGATAGAGGCAATACTTTGTTCAATTAATTGAAGAAACAAAAGATCCTATAAATTTATATAATGAACCAATTTCACTGGGAGAATTTACAACAACTAAAAATTTGTTATTGTATTGATAAAATTTCAATACAAATTTTAAACCTTATAAATGCTGGTTTTTTAAATGTTGTACTCCTAAATATTGATTCAACTAATGTTGAAATAATAAAGTTTCATTTAAATATTTATTTTGGTCGTGAATTATTTTCTAATATTGAAGAAGAAGTTTTTACTACTTATGAGTGGAGTAAGTTTAATCGCGAATATAGAAAACATATCACATCATTTCAACATCATACATCTCAATTTTTGGAAAAATTGCCTATACTTCAAGGAGAATTTAAATTTCGAATAAAAGAAAAGGAAGAAAAGGAAATAACTGAATAAACTGATAAAAGTAGCATCTTTATATATTTCAATCAAGGTATAAGACAGAGAATGGAAAAGTTAAAATATATTCAAAAAAATTCATAGAAATTAAGTGAATTTCGTGATACCAGAAAAATTGGTAAATTATATAATCATTTTTTTAATGATATTATAACACTGTATATTAATTATTTTTATTGGCGAATTTGGATATAGTTTCTGGAATCGAAGAACCAGATTGTAGGTTTTCTCTGAGAATTAGATGTGAATCATATGATATATTTTTTAGGTCTGAAATCAAAAAAATTGTAAATGAAAACATATTAAAAGATCTTCTAAACCAAAAGATGGAATGTGGTTTCGGGCTAAAGATTTTGAGGGAAAACTTAATAATGTTGAAGTAAGGCAAACTATCACGAAAAGAAGATTCATGTAAATTTTATAAATTAATTTCGTTCTTTTATTATTAAAAAGAAAATTATTATCTAATATTTTTTTTTAATGATATATTTAGAAATGAACATTACCAAATCTCTGTTGATACTATTAAAGAAAATGCAAAAGGTAAGTTATTAGATCTTCAGACAATTGGTCTTGAAAATCTAAACTGGAGAAGTATGGAAAGTGCAGATAAATTGAGTTATAAAGAAATTAGAGATACGATCTATGAAACAGTTCAATATGCAAGAAGAATAATAAATGAACAAAAAAAGGTTTGCAAATAATTGGTTTTATATGAAAATTTCACCCAGGTAAATTCAGGTTATACTTGACATTAAACAAATTATAATTAAAGGGACTTTATTTTTATTCTATAAAAGCAATATTCAATAATAATAAATAAATTATTTGCATTGATATTTTATTTAATACTCACTATTTATAAATCATATTATAAATTTCTTTTGAATTTTTTTCAATTTAAATGCTTAATATTACTGTATTTATTATAATTTTCCTTTATTTAAAAATTATTGGTTTATTATATAAATTATCCTTTAAAATCTTTAGTTTAAAAATATTGTGTATATAATTAAAAATTTACTTCATATATATTTTTCAATTTTTTTTTATATTGCAATATTTTGAATATATATATTTTTTTTAATCATTTTCAAGGATGCTGAAGTATACTATTAAGTGATCAATTTGACTTAATAGGTAAACATTGTTTAAAACATATTATTTTTAGCCTAATAACTTTATTTTTTACATCAGATAATTATAAAACTCACAGTATTTTATAATTAATAATTATTATATAAATATATAATTATAAATATTTATTAAATTATAATTTTATATACTATTAGATTTATTTTAAATTAATTATTATATTAAATAATTTTATATGATAATAATTTATAATATACAATTATATAAGATGTAATTATATAAAGATCACTTGAAAGTATACATGTAGGATTCCATAGCAGAATGACAAATGGTTTACAAGTTAATAATATTAGAATAGTTATATAATTTTTACTTTATGTATAATCACTAGGTAATAAATTTGTAAATGTACTGCAGTTAACAAGCAAAAAAAAATTGTATAAAGATTTAATTGTTAATTTTTTTTTTAATAAATAAAGTTAAAGTAATTATATAAATTAAAATATGTGTTTTTATTAATAAACAGAAAAAAATTAAAATATATTGGATTGGTGTGGTTTAAATTATTTATTTAATATAACAAGATTGAGATTTACTGGAGAAAGAGAAGAGGAATTTAGCAAAAAAATGGTCATAAAAAAAAATAAAATATCAGGTTAATTATTTAAAAATAATGTAAATACTATAATATAAAAAAATGTGCTGCTAAATTTCAATCGTTCATTAACGGGTGGAATTTCATGAAATTTTTAATTCTTCCCAAAATTCTATCCTAATTCTGGTAAGGTGACAATTACCAGCAGCGATATTTAGCAATCTATTTTATTTTTTGTCTCTGATATAATTAAATAAAAATTATATATGACGAATAAAAACTTGTTTATTTTAAAATTTTTACACTTTGGATATTATGTATTCGTCGTAAATCTATACCATGAATTTTTTCGTGGCACCTGTGACGAATAATTGGCTTAGCCTACCTAATTGATTAATTGGGCCTGTATATTGACTAATTAGGCCTCTCTCTAATGTTAATGGCTCATTTAGTTATTTAGATATGCATGGTCTTGTTTGCAGTACAGCAGCACGCGCACTTGCTTAAGAAAGTGAAAATATTATATATTATAATCAACTAGACCTTGTACATGAGTATATATTTATTTTACTTTCAGAATCATATCGCTGTTATAAAGAGCCAAAAGGCAAAGTTATACAACACGCGTCTAAAAATATATTAAATTTAATTACGCATTAAATCTTATTGTTGCAATTTAATATAGCTCCATTGTTATCTAATATTGTTTAGCCCTTGGTTTGCGGTCAATTGCGGGGTAATTCCATTCGATAATATCTAAATAGGGATTCCCATTTAATTTTCATCCGATTGTTTCTCGATAATGAGGTAATTCCATTAATAAATATCGATAATATCTATATAGGGATTCCCACTTAATTTTTATCCGATTGTTTCTTGATAATGAGGTAATTCCATTAATAAATACCGATAATATCTAAATAAGGATTAATTTTCTTTAATAATAGACCGATTTTTTCTCGATAAAACAATTTATTATCGTATGATAAAAGTATAATATCAGATTAATAGATATATTTAAAGTTTAATTTCTAAATTACTTAATTTCCTGTCCGGAATTGTTTATTTATAGAATAAATATAAAACAAATTTATTCGATAGCACTAATTTATTCGATAGCACAATTTTTGTGCATGCGAAGATTAAAGAAAATCATGTTACACTCTTGTGGTTTTCTATTTTTAGATTCCAAAATGACGGTAAAATTAGATCAGAGAGTTTAATTGTGAATACTTATTTGGGATAAAGTCTTTTAACGAAAAGAATATAGATTTAATCGGAGTTCTGCTAAAAATAGTATGCACATCATGGTGTTGATTGATTCCATGATGAGATCTTCTTTAAAGTTACAGGACCAATGTTTAAATGCTTAGAAACTTATAAATTGACATTGAATTGGCCTAAAAAACTAAAAAAAACTAAAAAAGTTTTTTTTTTTAAAATAATAATAATAATAATATCTTTCCAAAATGAACTCAAACATGAAATTCATTCTACTTTTCTTTATTTTCGTATCTAATATAATGAATTTTTTAGTAATAAACTCTAATGCACTTCCATTTTCAGATAATAAAAAATTCCCTATAATCGACGTTATTGGAACTATCACTGGTAACATAATATTAACATAAGATAGTTATAGTTTTTAGATAAAACGTGCTAAATTTTTTTCTCATGGTTTATAATACAGAAATGCCAAATATTGATTTTCCAAAGAATATTACAATACCAGATCATCATAAATTTGATTTCTTACTTTCAGCTTATGGAGTGCAAATTTATAAATGTTTTGTTAATAATCATATTCCAAATAATTGGACGCTCGGTATAAATTTTTATCGCTCTTAATTGAATTTATCATTTATTTCTTGAAGCTTATATCCCATGCCTTTAATTTTTTTCCAATGCGCAGTAACACCCGACGCGTTTTGCATCAATGATAAACATACTCAAACTTTTACACCAGAGTTTGAAGTTGTCCATCATTATTTCTTACCAAAGCGTTAGTATATTTTATTAATTTATTTATTTTAAGGACTTATTCATAATCGATAACAAGATTCCTTTTTTTTTCCTTCAATTTATAGTTATTAATGGCGGAAGGATTGTGTGGAAGTCAATAATTAAAAATGACAATTCCTTAATTGTAGCAAAAGTCATTGCACAAAATACTTCACCTGATGGTCCAAGTAATCTCCCTTGGCTAGTTAGTCAAGTCACTGTAAGTGTACAAAATTATGATATTTTTTTTTCAATTATTATTATTAGGTTTTGTTAATCGATCTTATATTTGTAATTAAGCATCATGAAGGTGAAGGAAGATATTCTGAAGTCACATATGTCTTACGAGTGAATACTCAAGGAGGGGTCGCTCCTGCTGCCGAACAATGTAATAAATATATAAGTCTTTATTTTTTTTTTATGTTAGTTTTATTAATTATAAATTTATCTATTCTAAATAGGCGGAACTTTTTATCCGGATGGAGCAATAGTGAAAATTCCATATAACACTGATTATTTTTTCATAAAATAGAATATAGATCACATGATAGATTTATATACTTTTTAAAAAATTCTTTTCCTCCGATAATTCTTTTAGACTTTCTTGTCGTAATATTAAAAATAAAATAATTCTTTTGGACCTCTAAAAGATTTTATTAATTAATAATTATATGCTGTAATCATCCGAACTTTAAATATTATTTTATGGATATTGGTTAACGTCACGAAGTGAAGTGAAGTTAACCAATATAAATACCACCGCTATATTATCGTACGGCGCTAATGCAGATTATGCTCAAATAAATTACCCATAAATTAGATTATATAGAAAACAAGTACAGTATGGAATCCTATGTATGTATGTATGGTGGTCAATGTATGGTATGTATGGTGTTAATTTTCATACGGTATAGTTATCACAATAGTAATATACTATACATAGGCCACCATACATCCATACATAGGTCACCATACATACATACATAGGATTCCATACTGTACTTGTTTTCGTCACCCCCAATAAGGATGAATAAGGATTAAGATATCAATATTCGATATTCAATATTGTACTATTGATATAAATAAAATTAGCATGGGCCGTGCGATAAATGCTGCTATAATTTAATTGGAATATACACATACATTATAAAGACGATCAAAATAGTATAACTAAACTCAAATAAGATTAGATTAGCTGCGGAATAAATTATTTAAATTGGTTCATGCGTAACATAATTTGATGTCAAAAAATAATTAAAAAATGGAAGTAGTAATTTATCTACTGGTGACCGATCCCCGATCCGCTTACGGACCGTTTCCCGACAGGACATTTCCCGACAGCCCAACGCTGGCCAATTGATCACGTGTTCGTGCATGACTCTGCATAACTCTGGCCAAACTTGTCGGGCAATCAAATCGTGTCGTAACCCGACCGATCCTTTATTTGTCACCTAGTATTCTGGGAACAATTTGTCACATGGCTTAATTTCTTAATGCCCCAAAAATTGGGGGTCGATAAATTACAAAAACTTTAAACAAAGAAATTTGATATCGATATAACGGATATCATACGGATATCATAACATAATGGAATTCTTGATATAATGGATTTCCAGTTAATTTCCCTTCAGTAGTGTAGTTATTTTCTTAAATAAGTTACATAATTATTAAAATAATAATTATGTTATTACCGGGTAATTACTTTTTAGCAAAAGTTTATAAATGACGATTTCTATTTGTACACTAAGTATTCAAACATGGGTTTCTTAATTTTTTAAAATTAAAGAAATTGAAATTTTTAAAAAAATGCATTTTTTTATTTAGTATTACATAGTATTAGCATAATAACAAAATTATTGGAGTTTATTATAAAAGTTGCATGAACGGTCCCGTCAAACTGACAATAATATTATTAATGAAGTCATATAACTTTGATATTTTTTATAATTTATTTTATTTTTATATAAAGAACAAAATTATTAACATATATAAATTTTATTGGCTATATATTATTAATTTTGCTTATTATATGTTCTAGTAGTATTTTAGTATTGTAATTGCTTACAAACTTTACATAATAAATAAATTATTAATATATTACTAAAATTATTAGTTTTATTAGTAATTTAAACTATTTAATACTTAATTTCATATTTAATTTAGAGTAAATTTATATCCAGCCCTTCTGTAATCTGTATAATACTTAAATCTAACATCTAGGATGTGATATATATAAATCTTACAGGATGAATATTGAAATTTTACCACCAAGTTTTATTGGATAAAAATTTATATTTATATATATAATTTGTAATATGTTTATTTATTTTGCAAAATAATAATTTGTACTACTATACAAATTAAAGATTAATTTACTAAAAATTGAAAACATTGAAACAAAAATTACATTAAAGACCAAAACAAAATTACACAAAAATCAAAAATAAAATTTACTTTACAAAAATTACTAATTTTTTGAAATATTATTATAAACTTAGATATAGCAATCATTATAAAACTAAATGCAAATTACAGTAAAAATTTACTAAAAATTAAAAATAAAATTACTATTAAACCAAAAAATTAAAGTTATACTAAAGATTGCTAAAGAGATAAGAAGAAAAAAATTTTTATGAGTTTTTAATTTAATATATTTAAAATTCAACACTTATAGGTAATTTAATGATGAATTCTAAAAATATTAGTGGCAGACTGACAGTTCTATTAATTTAATCAAAATAACCTAAATTTTTAATAAAAATTTTAAACACTTAATAAATTTCATTTCCTTTTTATATTTAATTTAAAATGATTTTATGCCTATTTGTTTACTAAAGCAAAGAAATTTATTATTATTAAAGGTTAAGATATATATGACAGTAAAATTTTTTGATATAAATATTACTTTAAAATTTATATAAATATTTTTTAATTATTTTGATATTTATAAAATAAAGATTCAGCTAGTTTTAAGAAGATTTATATAAAATACTTTCTTATTATGATGAAAATTGTTACAATAACAGTCAGTAAAAATGTTATAAAATTAATTAGCAGGGAGTTTTTTTATATTATAATATGATTACAATATAAATTATTGGTATAGTATAATTTTAATAATAGTTAATATATTATATACTATTTATATTTGCTTTCTATAATAAATATATAAAAATCCTGTATAAATTTATAGATAACAATTTTATATAACCATACACTTAAAATAAACTAATGGGAAATTTTAAATTTGATAAACTCATTAGTTGTTTTACTATATCTGAATCATCAATTCATTATGTGTTAAAAAAAATTGTATATTTAATGTAAAATAATATAGTAATTGGTAATTTAAATTCATTAAATTTGCATAAATTAAAATATTCACTAATTTAGAAACTTTATTTATCTAATTTTTCACAATTTACAAATATAAAAAAAAAAAATTTATTTATTCTTTGTATTATTATATATAAATATTGCCCAAATTATTTTAGGCTGCCGTAATTATAAGTAAAATTCTAAATTCAATTATGGCACTTTAAATTATTTTAACACTTTACATAGTAAATTATATATAAACTGAATAAATTATGATATCCCAAATTATAATTATGGCATTCTAAAATAATTTAGAGTTTTAGACATCATGTATATTATTATATTTCTTTTTCTGATTTTCTAATTTTAACACTTCAACTTTTGCTTTTATAAATCATACTTCTACAGTTCTACTTCAACTGTTTATACTTTAATTTCACATTTTTTTAATGTTATTTTTCTTTTTTCAATATTTAATTTGAATAATTCATTATTATTAGTCTTAAGTAATATTGTTTCCTTATTTTTTAATGCAGAATCTTCTTGTCTTTTTTTTTATTAGATTTTGATAATAGAGAAAGAAAGCTAATAGCAATTTATCATTTGTATCAAAATTATTATTTTAAATATGAGATTCTATATTATTAAAGAAAATATTAGAATTTTAACATAAATTTAAATACATTGAACTGTCAGCATCAAAGTCATTTAATACTTTAAACATATAGACTTTCTCGATAACCTTTTCTAATATATATAATTGATCAATAGAATCTGGTATAGAGAATTCCATTAACCTGTTCACAACATAGAGACCTTCACATGTGTTATGCATAATATAAAAAGTAAAGGTTTATTCTAGAATCAATAAAAAAGGGATATAAGATTTGTAGAACCTTTTGATTAACAATTCACATCATTTATGATAGACTATAATTCCATATGATTTCAAACAGGCAAGTTGATTTTCTTTAACCTCATGTTGAATGTGGTGTTATTATCAGTAAAATAATGATATCTGCATGCATTGCTGTCAGATAATATATAAAATAAAGTATGAAAAAAACAATTATTGCATAGCAAATTACTCACCTTTCAGTACTTTATTAAAATCATCTCCTAACTTTTTAATATCAACAACAAGAGCATTTTCTACCACTTCTAGTTGCATTAACGTTTACTTTAAAGATACCATCTTAATGACATCTGATGCTAATTTGTTGCGAGTATTGTTAGGTCTCGTTTCGTTAAGTCTTATTAAAAAATATTTTCAATCTCTCCACTGTAAATGAGATTAAGTAAATAAAAATCAGCATATTTTAATAAATGGCAGGCTTTTTACATAAAAAATTTCAAACATACATTTTTACTTGAATAATCTCCATTAGTGCTTCGATCTAGATGAAAACCATCATTCAGATTACACAAAAAAAAAGACAGATTTTATCCAGATTGATTCAGATTCTTATTCAAGTTAAATAATTTGAATAGAAACCAGAATTTGAATTGGATTTACAACTGATCAGCAATAATTCTGGCCAGTATTAATAACGCCAGTCAGAATTACAAATTTGTGTAATATTAAAAATTTTTATGCCATTATGCTTAGCCAATAAAAAATTTTTTTACCCAATAGCTAAACTATTTTTCTGGTATTACGTGATATTAATTTCGGCCAGAATTATAAATTTGGCTAAAATTATCTATAAAAATCGTGAAATTTTCATAATTCCAATAATCCAATTTTATTTAATACTTTTTTTTAAAAAATATTTCATATTATTTTAGTATTGTCTCAGGCTATTGTTTAACATTTTTTTGTAACTATAATTATGAAATTTTGATAAACAAGATATTTTTATATACAGCTAAAGATTACTATAAATAGATGTGTTTAGTAAGGCAATTTTTAAAATGTTAAAATCAGATTTGTTTCTTCTTTCAAAATTAAAAAATCAAATTATATAACATTAAGATTTTAATTTCTAAAAAAAGTTATTATAATTACATAAATTTTATAGTATTTTAATTTTTTGTAATTTAATCTGAATAAATTTTCATTTAAAAAATAATAATTATTATTTCATTGTAAAAAAAATAATAATAAATTTTTTTTTTCTTTTGAAAATTTGAATATGAAAAATGATTCTTTGTTTAGTAAATTATTATGTTTTAAACTTCAGTTGACCAACATATGATGCAAGTGTTTTTGGTAGGATCCCGCTTACTTATAATAAAAGTCACTGTTACAGGTCAAAAAGTGAAAAATCAGGCAGTTTGCTAACTTTTGATCCAGTGATCA